CAAGCGATGCGAGGAAAGGAAGAGGAGGACAAGCCTTGCAGTCACAGATTTAGATGATTGCACACATGCACTCCATCTCTAGGCAACACGTGGATGCACAAGGCTCTGACATTATAACGTCCAGCCTTCAGAATTACAGCTCAGAAGCTGTAAGCCAACTGTGACTGCAGCCAGAACGCGACAGTAAACCCTCTGAACTCTGGAGCCGTCTGAGCACCGGCTGCAGCTGGACCTCGTATCCAAAATACTGGGGCGGGATGATCGTAACAGCGTGGTCGGGCAGGTGGGCAGTGAACTGGGAGGTGGACACTAGAATTAACACGGGTCAGACATTAATCGCTAGAAGGAATCCGGGTGGAGTTAAAGCCGGAGCTCCATTTTGCAGCCAGCAAAAGATTTGCAGTTAGGGAATGACTCGGCTCTTTTGAAGCTGGAAATCCTTTGTCCCTGATGTTTTCTAAAATATTTAAACCATTCAGGCATACACGATAAGAACATATAAAACCTAGCTAGAAAAGATGTTTATCTTTCTCACTGTTCTCCAATCTTTTCTTTTAATGCGAAATACTACCAAACACTGAGGGGGAAAACCACTCTTCCATTGAACTGCTTTGAACTAAAAAACAAACACCCAGTGATGAGGGGTCCTAAGCAAAAACAACAACACATCATCTTATGTACTGTCAGCAGAGTTTGGGCTTGTTCGAATGGGTCATTTTTAACATGCCAGAAAGCACTGAAGGTTACTAGCTCCACAATTTGTAAAAACCCTCTCTTTCCTCCTCCTACTGTGTGTTGGTATCCAGATTCATATTTGTTGTGTTGTTGCTGTTGGTGGCTAGCGCTGGGTGACGTGGAGAAAATCAAATATCACTGTATTTTTGACCAAATACCTTGATATCGATATAACAACGACATTGCAGGGTTGATTATTGCTTCTGTCACAAAATAGCCTAATTAGACAATGAGAATTATGATAAATAATCATCAGTAAGGTTGATATGACTAATTGGGTAAAAGATAAATAATAGAACAGTCTGGTAAGAAGAAAGAAAATGACATCACTTGACTGAAATGCAACCTTTAAAATTAGGAAAAGAAAACCGTTTTGCAATAATACGATATCCAAAATCTAAAACAATAGAGTCTCATATCACGATATCGATATAATAATCTGATTTATTTCCCAGCTCTAGTGGTGGCTACCGAAGCAGCCTTCTACAAGGAGTTTATGAAACCGTCTAGATTTAATACTCATGCAGCTTTATGACCTACGGATTCTCACAGGCAACGTTTTGCAGTGAGTAACATTTTCCAGTTTAAAAGGAAGGAAGAGATTTTTCTTTAGAGAATTAATTCTTTTGAGTTATATTTCGTGGTTATATGGCTGATACTGGGGCAGGATACGGCGGCAACCCTTCAGGTTTAAGGAAAAGAACAAATGAAGATTTTAAATACACAAGGCAGTGGCAACGTCTCCATTCCAGGTAAACAATCGCGTTTGTCTGCAGAGCAAATGAAAGTTTCTTGTAGTTGCTTTATTGTTGGCGCATTAACTTAGACCTGCAAATAAATATATTCTCCATAGATGTCCGGTTATACTGTCAGGTGACTAAAAGTACTTCAAGAATATTCAGTAACGAACTAAAACACATGCTCCACACTAACAGGACGTGTAGACGTTTCTCAAATGATGATATTTGAGGCCTGGTCTGAAGCAGTTTTAAGGGAAATATAATCTAAAAGCATTGCTTCATTTACGTTTAAAGATAGAAAAACAATGATGTATTACCAGGAAGGTTTACGGTGTGATTTACACTGTGGGGCCACATGGGGGCCACAGAGTCATTGCAGGGAGGCACACAACCAGCTGTTGATATGTCAAACACAATAACTATTAACGTCATTCATTGCACTGCATTCCAATAATTGCAGAAGCGATTGTTGATGTTATTAGTTCCACAAATGTTTGTGAGTCCGATTAATCTGAGAACGATTTAGAAAAACAAACTGTTCTTTGATGCTATTAAGAATCTGGTTAGTAAAATAAAAAACAGTTAAGTTTAATAAGTCTTTTGACAAGAAAGAAAACAAAACAGATGGTATACTCATCAAGCAAACACATCAGTCAGATCTAATAAATGAAGACTGTTTCTCTCCAATTCACTGTCAATACAACAGAAGATCCGAAATACTTCTTTATGACAGTAAATAATTATGATAAATTATCAACAATGAAAGTAACGGTTTCATATATAGGTAATGCTTCATAAGACTTAAACACTCAAAATCTCAGGTAATCTGAATCTTCAAGACTGTGTGGTTGTGCTTTGATCAGGAAACACGAGCAAACAACCCCAGACTGTCACATTTTAACTCAAATATTACATTTACAAAATACTGATCAGTGCATGCATGTAAACGAATGCATTTTCTCAAATGAGCCTTACTCACAAACAAAAACACAAATGTCACAATAAATACAAATGTGGAGAAGACATTGTGTTCATAGTTATTTGCTCGTAAATAGGAGCTTTGACTTTGCTTCCAGGTTAAGTCTGAACACCACGAACGATTCTTTAAAAACTTTCTGTTGAGGACCTAAACTACGTGATGAACAATTATTAGACGGATACGGTGCGAACGGCATCATTTCACCTCTTATAACACTAATGCTTTAAAAACAAGCGTGACGCACAGCTGCAACACTTCCACAGTCACATTGAACAGTAAGAAGCTACGTGCACGTGCCCTACATTAACACTCAGTGACCCGACACACCGCTTAAAACCTTTACAACGTGTGAAAGAGGAAAGTTTACAACTCTAAATAACCGACATAAACCTTAGTGTTGTCTTACCTGAGACTTGTCCTGTACCTTCACGTTATAGCAGCATCCTACAGGGCGCAGACATGTTGGATTCCTGAACGCAGCTGCTGGTAATCAGAAGGCTGCCCCCTGCTGGACTGGAGGAGCAGCTGCAGCATCCGGGAGGAATTAACGGAGGAGCTGAGGTGTTGCGCAAGGACACTTTATATTTTCCCCATGTTTCCAATTGTCCTTTCCTCTGAGACCTTAGACACTATAAGCTGGCTCAAACTCTTCATATACAGTAGACTACATTAGCCTACTACTACACTGAGTACATATTTACACCCAAGTCTGCTATGGCTGAACCATTCCATCAAAGATATTCCAGATGTCTTGTGCATCTTTTTATATGAATGTACCCCCAAATTCAGTCTGACCTACTTGGTACATTTGGAAACTTTGTAATCTCCACTTTTAAATTAAGCTCTGTGTTTGGAAAACTGATCCCATCACATGTTTTGTTCTGCAGCCTTGGTTTCAGTTCCAGTTCAATATTCCACTGTGCCAACTCAGTCCCTCAGCACTTTAAATAATATTGTTACATCAACACCATCTTGTCAGATCTTTGACCAACCAAAGAACATTTTTAATGCATTCATTTAGCTTTTGTTATGCTAGCTGTCTGAGGCTAATATGTTGCTAATATAACATTCTAAGTACCTGTTAATTTACTGTTAACTGGTTTAGTTGTTTATTACTCTACTCTTTACACTTTAGCTCGTGTATTTTTAAAAAATCTTTTTAGATTAATTACTGTGCGGCATGTCCTATGGTGACTTTTCATTTTCACTGGTGATCGTCAACTTTCTTCCCATCTTGAGGGATTATTTGACAGTTTATACTTTTATAGTTTTGTTACCAAGCATGGTTTCAAATGAACTGCATTGCTAGGCATCATCTTAAGTCCATGTTTACATCCTGTTCATTTATGTAATTCACATACACTTCAACCAAGGAACCATATACATTATTCCTTGCAATGCAACCAGAAATAAACCGGGAATAAACTGTTTATATTTACAGCTGTGACATGGCCTACACATCCTTTACCTTTGGTCCAACTGTTGATATCTAAACTTTTTTTTGATTTGTAATCAATGTCATTCACTTTGCTGTCCAATACCGTTTACAGATTCACAGCTGCTTGCAATAAAAACCTCAGTCTCCATCTGACGTTTTCAACCTTTATTGTATTTAGTAGAAAGAGGTCCTTTTAGTGGCTTTTCTGGGACTCTCAATCACAGTGTGATCGGTAAAGTCAAGGATCTGCAGTTCCATAACAACTAGTGGACGGACTCCATCTCCATAAGGTCCTATTGAAAGCACCAGAATAGGCACTATATGGCCCTTGTGGTGAGCTTTTCTCAACTGCTGCTTACAGGGTCAAGAATCAACATTGACCCTGTTTGAACAATGTTTAGACAACCAAAATATACGAGGATGAAGTCTGGCAAGAGGTTTTTAAAGCACAGACTACACGCTCACCTGCACATTAACATTTTAATCATGAGCTAGTCATTTTTGATAATCTCCTTCCTGTGAACTGGAGCAGGATAATCCTGTAATTAATTACCTACATTTACATAATGAAATAGCATGAGCATTTGAGACCGCATTGCCATTATGTCCTATGTTTCTTTCTAGTATATTTTAAATCAGCATAATTTGTATTGTTCTGCAAATGCATTTGATTGCATCTTAATCCAGTAGAAAAAATATAAATGCTTGCATATTACAACATTAAAACATTTTTATTGAAGTAATTATTTTTAATACATTATGAACTTGTTTTCCTCGGCTGAATTGTCTTCTACGCCAATATTGTTCAAAGCAAATAAGAGTCTTAACTCACTTAAATACATAAAGCCAGAAATATAACCAGAAAAAACTTTATTAAAGTATTTTATTTTAAAAAAAAAGTAAAGTTATTTACAGTTTCCTTTGATAGATTAAGTTGATTGATAATTTTAAGATATTCAATTACATAAAACTTTAGGTAAAAATAATTCAGAAAACAAACACTCACCATACAAAAGTGCTCAAAGTGACAAAATATTTTTGAAAATGTAAAAATAAAATGTTTAAATCAAGATGTGAACGGTGCAATCCAAAATGTAAATATTAACATTGTTTTCTCCTTTTCACAATATGCAAAGCTGGCTATAAAAATATAATGTTTCTGATTTCACACATTTAAATTCAACTTACAAGAATGTTTACACGTTTGATTTCTGAGGTAAAAATGACAGAAATGTTTGACAGTGATACAGGAATGGTCAAATATTTTAAGGCATTTTAAGATGTCTAATAAATAATTTGATGTTCTAAAACAATGTGCGAGAGTACCATTAAAAACACAGTCAAGGATTCACAGATCAGTTGGCGGAGTTGTTCACTTTCGATAGGACAGCGGCGCTCACATTTAGGGAATTCTCATCGGGGAGAAATTCCCTCAGTAGGAACGACAGAAGCATCTGTTATGAAAGATAAAACACAATCACAACAAGGTTTGTATATTCACGTTGTATAAAATGTAAATTAGATGCAATAAACGAGGGATGGTGACAGAAAGTAAATATTGAAAACTCACATAGACCAGCATTTTGTTTTCTTTACTGTTCTGAAAAAGATTAAAAACCGTCTCCACGTCCGTCTTCTTCAGGACAAGATAGTTTGAATCTACAGAGAAATTGAATTTAGATGGATTATCAACTGCCAGAAACGGGTAGATATTTCCCACCGGTGCAGAGAGGTGTCACCTACATCTGGTGTTGATTAGGTTTTGCGCTCTTTCCCTCGTCTCGTTCTTCTGCTCGTCAGTGCGAGGAACATGAGGAACTGCTCGTTGAAAATCTGGCCACTGTTTGTTCCGCATGGTGTCAATCAATGCGGCCATCTGCAACTCTGTCGGGTTCAACTTGTTGAGGAAAGAATTCACTTTTCTGGGGAAGAATACAACCAAAAGTCACTCCTATAGACAAGGATCCAAGTGAGCTATAAAACTCTGGAAAGGGTTTGAGAGTCAGCAACAAACTCACTTTTTCAAGATGGGCATAACAGGTTTCAAAATGGCATCAAATATGTTTATGAGGATGGAGTTTCCTGTTAAGACAGACGGACAGAGTATTAGGTTTCTCTTTGACAACATCATAACAAAAGGACCATTTTAGTGTTTTTGAATGTTGAAGCTCACAAAGCTCTGTAGCTGCAGAGTTGGGTGTGTTCTCCCTTGTCCAAATCAGCCCTCTAAGGCAAGAGGGTGCTGTGTGTTAGTGAAGCTCTCCGGCTTGCCCTCTGCCTCGGAGGCAAATTCAATGGACTTGACTTGGCTTGTTAATTCGCCGCAATTTGGGCATTGTTGGATCTTTTTTTAACATACCAGTGTCAATGTAAGTAAGTCAGTAAAAACATAGATAAATGCTGGTTTAACAAGACTACCAACGATTATCTATAGCTTATCAAATGATTAGACCGTTAACACTTTCTTCATACCTCCCAGTGAGCCACTGGTTTTGGTTTATTTTCAGTACAATGTTAAAAAAAAAAAAAAAAAAAAAAAGTCTGAAATTTGCTTGAGATATCTAGCCATTTGGTTTGTCACGGTTTCGCGATTGTTTCATGCTGGTGAATCATTTAGTAAACCAAAGATCAAAACCTTTGATTCGTTTTAGTATTTTAGAGATCCTACAACCTGCATCTACAAACCTGTCAGTACATTCAATTATAGAAATATAATGATCTTTTTCTTCACATCAATGTTTGTTTATAGTCGTCTTCTGTCAAACATGGATTGTTGGAGCTCATCAGAAGCACATGAATGCAACCCTCCAAAAGACTAATAACAGTCCACACTTTCACCTTAAAATGCCACATAATGATGAATACAATGTTTACTGTAAAGGATTACCTTTGTCAGGCGAGTGTCAGACATCTACAGGTTGAATTTCTTTTAGTGCTGAAATCAACTAAGACAACTGGCTGTCTAGACTTCAGGAAACATGCTTTAATCCATCTAAAAAGCTGTAATATGCTTGTAAGAGCCACAAGCGTATATATTAGTTAATTGTAATTTTGGGAATATTAATCATTTAATTTCTGAATTACGCTCATTGTGCAGGAACTAAAGATGTGTAAAACATATTGAAAAGCATTTATGTTAATGATTGACACTCCCTTTTTTTCCTGATTTAATGACGTCATGACGGCAGCCGGCGCAAAACCCGAAGCGCTGCATTAGACACGGGAGCATATAGTCTTTCTACCGTGTGACAGAATATATTTTTTGTGTATTTAGTTTACGCTTTGTTGCGTAAAATAAAGACGAAACGAAAAGAGTTAAACGATCTCCTGTCATTCGTGTAAGGAAATGAAGTCAATGTGTCTGCAGCTCATTTGCGGCAACACTGACGGAACGCCGCTACAATGCTTTAAAAACAACCTACAAAATCCAAAAACACTGGTGTGATCCTGAAGTTATTAATGCTGTGAACGATAAAAACATTGAACAAACCAGATATTTCTTTCAGCAGATCAAATATGGCTTTGGTCGCCTCCAGCTGCTCCCAGTTGACTTGGCTCTTCTGACACTGGGAGTCCTCCCCTCGTGATGAAGTGCCCTGGTCCTTCCCTTTTGTCTTGATGGCTCCACCTGACATCTTAAAGCCCATTTCATCTGACCTTGCACTGAAATGAAGTGCACTCCCCTGCATGTCCCCATTCTGGCAGCTGTGTGGCGAAGAGTCTGACTCAAGTGGGTCTTCGTCACTGGCGTTTTTTGTCGAGACCAGAGACTCTTGTGACCTGGATCGGGTCAGTCCTTTGAAAATCATTTTAAAGGGAGAGGTTAAAGGATTATCAGAGTCCTCCGGTTTGTCTTGGGAAGAGTCAGAGTGCACAAATGAGGGAGATTCTGCTTCTACAAGCCATTCTGGAGGAGAACCATGTTCGGAGACAAAAATAGTTGGGATTGAAGCACCGTCAACTTCACTGCCTTCCTCAGTAAAGGCATCAGGGTTTTCTAAAGGCAGAGCTGTCGATTCTGGATGGGGAGATGGTTTTATGATTTCTTTAGGGGCTTCTGTTTGAGGGCTCGAGCTCTGCGGAGGAAAGCAAAGAAATCAAGTTGTGACAGCTGACCCAGAGGCAGCTGCTGTTATGGTACAGAGGACACCAGCAGCTAAACTAATCCATACGTCGGTTCAGCAAGACTTTAAAAAAGGTGCACTTTAAAAAGGCACATAAAGTAAATTTACTATTTACAAGTAGTACTACACAGACAGTGATGTCAGCTTCAAACGTCATGTTTTTTTACAGAAAGCCTGTGTTGAACAGGTGATGCAGAGTTAGAAATGTCTATCCCCCCCTATCATGAAGAAAGGGGGGGGGGCTGCGGACGAAAAGTCAAAAATGTCATCCGATGACTTTCCACAAACACTGTTCCTTGACCTCAATGGAAAACATCATGAGGTCATTGAAAGATGTGACGGAGAATTCATAAGGATTTAGGAAAAAACTAACGCAGTGCTATAGAACCAGACTGAACTTTTATGCTACGATGATTGTTTTTGGTGTTTTAAAGCAACTCCTTTAAAACATATAGAAAATGAGTAATGACAAAGTCAATGCTGTACAATTCAATTCAGAATTATTCTTGCCCAAACCAGAGTCACACCTCCAAGAAGTATGTTTTCAACTGACAGCGGATGTTAATGGTGGCAGAATGGTGTGTCGCTTTAAATGTTGCTGCTGCAAAGAATTATGAGATGGCATTATCTCCTTATCTTTCATAAAGGAAACAAGCAGTCAGACAAGTCAAAAGAAGTATGTGCACACAACCATGGGAAATATGTCAAAGCTGAACCAGGGTCTGTAAACTGAAGGATGTTTACACTGGACAGTTTGAGTAATGAATTTACCATTTGTCTCTCTTGGGAGTTTGTTTGAACCCCGTCTGATCGTCTCACTTGTTCTTGTTCCATGAGACGTGAATATTTTTAGCATTCACAGATTTCAGAAAAAGCTCAATCTTTCCATGACCGAAAGGCATAAATGTACAAAAGTAAACCCATGGTTGTAGTGAACCAGATCATTCTTTCAGTGAACCTTTACCTCCTCTTCCTCTTGACCTGGAGTCAGGAAGTAAGCCAAGCCGCTCAGAAGGCCCCACACGCCTCCTTTATGTTCCTCCTCATTCAGCAGTTTGTCAAGAGGGCAGAGGAACTGGAAAACCGGTTGAGTGGGGCCGATGAGATTATCAGAAACTAACTCCTGGAAAAAAAAATAACAAAATGTTGAGTCACGGAAGTTATGATTTAAGTGTTTATCTGTCAGCAAACTTTCTGGTGTCTTTTACCTGCAGAAAGTGCTCCACTGATGCTTTGGCTTCTTCTTGGACCTCACCGTTGACCTCCGACTCCTCAAGCACCAGGATTGTGGGCAGGCTGGTTGAGTCCTGAAAAAAAACCAAAAAACATTTGTTTTGATGACAAGAGAGCCTCAAGACCTAATGTGTACCTAATAAAATGAGTGTATATCAGATGTGATTTGGATCAGTTAAAAGCAGAAAATTGTATATAAAACAAGAAAATAAAGCACAAACCATGTCTTTCCATCGGCCTTTTACCTGCCATCTGTTGCGGAAGTATACAACATCCATGTAGGTCTTCCTGATGTCCCACTGTAGGTTCTCAGGGCTTCCCTTCTCCTCCAGGTGAACGGTGAAGATTAGCTCCTCATCCTCCCAGTCGGCCTACAACACAGTGGACTCGGGCTCAAACATTTACAAACCGTCCGAGGACAAGCTTTTACCGAGCTTCAGCAGACAGATAACAAGCCTGTAGGACATTCCACACCGTCGCCTGTATTTATAACTCACATGAGGAATGCTGACAGCCCAGCAGCCAACGCGCCACATCTCATACGAAAGCTTGAATTCCATCATCTCCTCTTGCACGCTTGTCAAGTAGTCTTCCAGGTCACTGTCCTCCTGGTGGTGTTTGGCCAAAACCAAAAAGCGACAATGAATCCGTCACATTTCACAAATTGTCATCTTGGCAGTTTAATACATTGCGTTGTATGTGCAGCGGACTCACCCCGTCAAAGTCCTGCTGGATGTGACCGAAGCCCTCCCTGCTGCTGACATCGTCCTCGCTGGACCCGTCTCTCTGGACCCACATGATCCTCAGCTCCTGCTCCATCTTCTTCATCTTCCTCTTTTCCTTCTTACACTTCAGCTTGTCCACAAATTTAGACCATCCTTCTTTTAACTTGTTAGCTGGAAATGAAAACAACCACATAATAAAAGTCAGAGACATTTCCACAACTTGTGTTAACAGTATTTTACCTTTTTCTATTTTTTAAACTGTCTCTTATACCTTTTTATACCACAGCACTGAAGAAGCACAATGTTCTTGTCTGATATACGGAGTACTGAACATGGAGAGAATAGCAATGCATTTTACTTTGACCTTAAAAACACTTTGACTGTAAACCTGCATTTGTCTTTCTGCACTGTGACGAAAGTGTAGCAACTTTCTAGCCTCACTACAGTTGGAAATATCATGAAAAAAAACTATTCACCAGATTTATTAGGCATGTCAGCATAACTAGCAATCGCACGTTTAATGTTATAATCAATACGACGGCCTGATAATGACAAATATGCCATCGGATTTAAATAATTCTTACAGATGATGACAATTTGTTGTTTATTGTTTCAGAATATACCATGTGATGATTGCAGAAAATACACATTTGTCACATCGCAGGGTTCATTATCATGGCATAATCCAGTCTTATTTAGTCATCACTGTTGGGTTGTTTGCGAAACAAAGAGATAGAAGATGCTTGAAGACAACACAGAAATGATTTGGCATTCATCTCAGTGTTTGTGTAATTGTCCGTACCGACAAACAAACAACAGGGGATTAATTACACACTGAAAGGCAGGCTGGTTGAGAAAAGTATGTCACGTAGCAAACAACACATTGCTATTCATCAAACGGTCGTACAAGACGTTATGCAAGCAAAGGTTTCTGTTCTCTAAACACCCACAAGCTACTCCATCCATGTCTCTCAAGTCTCCATTAACTTAATCTGAAATGTTTTCACACTCAAAGCTGAAACCCAGGTCACAATCACATCCTGTAGGTTTAAGTATCAAACAGCCTTTTAATCACAACAACTCAAATAACAAAACGCACCTTTACATTTGGTTTTGATCCTGGTGGTTGAAATCCCTGCTCCCTCTAAGCTCCTAGAAATAAAAAGTAAAAATAGAAAAACAGCCATCAAACAAAACCAGGTCAGTTCCAATTTCCAAACACAGAAGGTGGCTCTCACAGCCGTTGCTTTGAGGCTCACTGCAACGACGTGGAGCCAGCGGAGGGCAAAAGATGACAGCCACTCACTCTTCCCTGCCCTCGGCCTCGCCTTCACCCTCCTGTGAAGCCAGAGAGGTTTGATCCGGGTCTGATCCACAAAGCTCCTCCTCACAGCCTTTGGGGGTCACGCTGTCCAGCTGGCTCACCACCAGCTGGTTCAGGTTGTCGGGGTCCGACAGCCATGTCACCAACAGACCCAGCCCTGAAGAAAACAGCAAACACACTTCATCCTACAAGTTCTGTTCATCAGGACATAAACGCACTCAAATCACATCCAACCATATTAACAGACTGTAATGAGTCACGTTTATAAAGAGAACCACAATGGTTATCCTATGACTTTGTTATCCTTAACATGTTATGTATGATCTGTTATATAGAGTCTTCTTAACACAGCTGCACAATCAGTGATAATTGATTTCTTAATGGAAGGTTTTAAAAAGGAATAGTTTGACATTTTCGAAATTATGCTAACTTGCCACAGCTGCTGGTTAACAGCCAGCTTGTCTCTGTACAAGGATAACAAAATCCAAATACCAGCGCCTCTAAAGCTCACACATTTACATAGTGGAACTTGTTTGTTAAATTCGTACATGAAAGAAAGTACTCTTATTTCCCAAAGTGTCAAAGTATTACTATAAATTTGGCATATCAGCCCCCTTGAAACATTTGTTATGTCTTGTGTGGAACAATGCATCACAATATTAGGGAAAAATCAGGATCATCATTTTTACTGTGACAGCGAAGAAGCCCTGTATAATTTCCCACTTGTTCCAAATTATTGCAAACACTTAATTATGTATCTATGTATGAACAACGGTATTTACTTATTATTTAATGAGCCGTTTCTAGCTGCCAAGATGAAGACGTGCAGATAAAGTTTTAACTACAACCGTCAAAATCACTTATTTTAACTGAGCCACATGCATAATTGTAAAAAACCTCCCGTGAGATAAGAAATGTTATCTGCTTCTAAAGAAAATGAGAAAACCTGAAAATGGAAGTGGCGATTCACTGCAGAAGTGCATGTCCTCAGTTCTACAACGCCACTGACAATAAGGAATTACATATGATTCACACTTGTAAAAGAAGTGGAGGGAGGCCTAACTCTTACGTAAGAGCGTATTCCCGCAGAAAGATAATTTAACGCGTTCTTACCCCGTAAAGCAATAATCTCGTTTAAGGCACAGCGGTTGACCTCTGCATCCCTGAGAGAGTCGGGGAAAAGGTTACGGACTATAGTCTCAGAAAACCTTCGGAGAACTGCTATCTCTGCTCTGGAGCTGAACAAGAGCTTTCTGAAACAGAACGAGAGGTGATCATTACAGTAATTATGCTGGATCGTAGACGTTTATCGCCACTGTGTGACAATCACTTGATCTACTGCAACACCATTCAGCACAAAAACAACCACTAGGATGTCACTGCAGGTATGATCTTGTAAAAATGTAAATTATTCATAGGTTGTAAAAACATATGGAGGTATTTATAGAGTTCAGCCACTTAACGGAGTGTAACTGAAGCTACATGAATTCTAGAAAAAAAGGTTTCACCCGTCAGACTGCTTCGCATTATGCAAGTGCTGGGTCAAAATACGAACGCAGCCCACGACCGCCTGGCGAACATCAAAGTCTTTGGCTCTCTCAATGATGCGGTCGATTATGAAGTCGAACTCCCTGCTGAGCACCTGGTGCAGAGGCTGTTGCTCGCGTGGCTCGGGGACGCCGTACCAAGGCAGGACCAGCTGGGCGTAGGCGCACTCGAACACTGAGGACAGCAGGCACAAAAAGGGAAATTCACATTCACACCGAACTCCTACACTCTCCTCCAGAACATCAAACACGAGGAGCGACTTTAAAGCTCGTTTGGTGAAATTCAAGCTGTGTTTTTCCATTTAACACTTGGGTGCAGAGCTCCTGTCCAAACAATTCAATTCAAAACGCAGCACAAATGTGACAGGATTTCCCTCTGAACCTGATGAAGACGGGTCCCTCTGGAAAGCATGTTTTATTTACAGCAACATAATGTTATTTATATATCATGTAGAGAAAACCAACTGAAAAGCGCTGACGTGGGGCTTTCACACAGGGTCTTATTTATGTGTGTAGACCATGGACTATGAATTATTCATATTTTCAATGACTTAGAGGCATACATTGAGTCAATGAAAAAAAACAAAATCACGACATGTAAATGTGTTATAGTTATACGTCTTACATTTTATATATAATATTTGTGTGTATAAAAAGTGCAACAACATTCTTTACAGCCACAAACTGTTCTATAATCATATTTTGAGTGATTAAGATTAAAGATGTGTACATTTACATAGGAGCCTGTGAATTTTTTCACTTGTTTTGTGTGAATAAACTACACAGGCAGCTTTATACTTTGTTCAGTTGACAAAATGAGAAGAAAGACTCCGACCGAGTTTGTGTAAGGACAGTTTGAAAGGTGCAAAGACAAAAGAAGGACTTCATAGTGAGGCGTAATGAACTCTATATCATGCTAGACTCTAGAGGGAACTGGAAAAATGAAGAGCTTTCATGACCAAATTATTGCAAAAAGCTTATTTTACCTTCTCAGTTCCACAGTTGTTCAAGGTCTGACTTGAGCCGAGACAGATTTTAAATGTAGAAGACATGCAATGCCAGGAAACCGAGCTCAGCGCTGTGATACCAATCGTACAGCCTGACACAAACAATATAAAACATGCAGCACAAATAGACACAAAGCAAACACTGCTGCTGAGGCATGAAAACCAGTTATCTTATTTCCTGCTTAATGTATCTCAGCCAACCCATCTATTGAGAGGGTGTGTTCTTCATCCCTTTCTTGCATTTGTAAGCCCCTCCTCGCCTCATGTAACACGAGACCCAGCCGCAGCTGCGTCTATGCAAAACTGTCCTTTTCAACCGTGTCAAGTCAAAACAGACGTAGCATTTGCTGGCAAAACACCCTAAAGTCAGGAGCACAACCTTGACCTTTTTTTTTTTATCATTCGCTCAGATCTTCATAAGAAGTGTTTTCTGAACTGTAAAGTCAGATGTGTTCATGCCACTTAAAAACATGTTTGTTCTGCTGCGTGAGACATGCCTCACCTTGCTGTAGAGACCTCTTCACATGTGGATACTGAGACTCTTCAGCCTGCTGGCTGCTTTCTGCGTCTTTCAAGTCACCAGACAAATCTCCCTCCACCGTTTTCTGGAAAACACAGAAGTATTGAGCCACATGCCAGGAATCGATGAGATTCTGAGAAAACTTCAGCATCCATAAGTGCTGAACTCTGGGTGACAGCGAGTTTTGTGATGAGTGAAAACAAGTGATGCAGGCCTCAGTACGCAAAAAGAAATGCACCTCGGGCTATGGATGAGAACACTTTAATATTAGAGTACTTTTATTAATCTCACAGCTCAGTTATTAGTGTAAGCTGGCCTGAAAACTGGGACAAGTTAGATAAAGGCATCCTAATTTACATATTATCATTATTAGATTAATTAACAGACTTATTCCATTCATTTAAGCAGATAATGCTATTTAAAGTGGTATCATATGATCTAATAATGCATCTCACGCTCACATATGTCATATTTAACTCATGAAAACATGACTCCGTTTTGATTATGCAACCACACTCATATGAGAAACCATTTCCTGCAATAACAGACAAAGCAACAACAAAGTACGTATACCTGGGGAGACTTTCCATTCGTCTCTTCGTCAGTTTGAGTGCCGCTCTCTCGTCCACTGTGAACGAGCAACAGTGGAGTAACGAAACAAAAGAGCAGACATGCACCGTACAGTGTCAGTGTGCGGCCGCAGTCTGAAAAATACCACACCAAGCCGAGAGTTACGGCGATGGAGAGGCGCAACAGAGACATCTTCTTTTCTTACACGAGGCTCTTTCTGCTCGCGTCTCTCGCTTTGAGCTGGTGAGTGTTGCCCATAACCAGACCCGGTTTGTGCGTTCACATCTTTAGCACGGAGACCAAGCCGCTGTTTTCCTCGAAACACGAACTAACACGGCGGAAAAAAAAGAGCCAACTTTATTAAACTGGTCGGAGCTGTGATTGGCTGAAGGAAATTCCCGCGTGCCTGTTGTTGATTATGACAAGATGCCATAGAGGTTACTGTGAAAAAGTGGTCACATCTATCTATCTACCTATCTATCTATCTACCTATCTACCTACCTACCTACCTATCTACCTATCTATCTATCTACCTATCTACCTACCTACCTACCTATCTACCTATCTATCTATCTACCTACCTACCTATCTACCTACCTACCTACCTACCTACCTATCTATCTACCTACCTACCTACCTACCTATCTACCTACCTACCTACCTATCTATCTACCTACCTACCT